TTTCATTCTAATTCAAAAAAACTTGAAAATTACTAGAAATTTCGATTGAGTTTAAGAAATTATCACAGGAATTAAAACTGATTTCGCAAAACGGACTTTCTCATTGAAAAACTGATACTTTAGTTGACGTTTAGTAAAAATTCCATACAAATTTTCCACCGAATGGATTTTCCATGATCTTTTCATTCTAATTCAGAAAACTTGACAATTACTAGAAATTTCGATTGCGTTTCAGAAACTATATCTCAAGAATTAAAAGTGGTTTCGCAAAACGCACCTTTTCCTTGAAAAGCTGATACTTTAATTGACGTCCTGTGAAAATTCAATAAAAATTTTCCGCCGAATGGATATTCCATGATATTTTCATTCTAATTAAAAAAACTTGAAATTTATAAGAAATTTCGATAAAGTTTCAGAAATTGTATCTCAGGAATTAAAAGTGTTTTCGCAAAACAGACTTATCCATTGAAAAGCTGATAATTTAGTTGACGTCCTGTGAAAATTTTACAAAAATTTTCCACCGATTGAATTTTTCATGGTCTTTTTATTCTAATTCAAAAAAACTTGAAAATTATTAGAAATTTCGATTGAGGTTAAGAAACTATATCACATGAATTAAAAGTGATTTCGCAAAACGCACTCCTTCATTGAAAAGCTGATACTTTAATTGACGTCCTGTGAAAATTCCATATAAATTTTCCGCCGAATGGATTTTCCATGATATTTTCATTCCAATTAAAAAAGAACTTGAAAATTACTGGAAATTTCGATTGAGTTTCAAAAACTATATCTCAGGAATTAAAACTCTTTTCGCAAAACGGACTTATTCCTTGAAAAGCTGATACTTTAGTTGACGTTTAGTGAAAATTCCATAAAAATTTTCCACCGAATGGATTTTCCATGATATTTTTATTCTTATTAAAAAAAAACTTGAAAATTACTAGAAATTTCGATTGAGTTTCAGAAACTAAATCTCAGGAATTAAAAGTGATTTCACAAAACGGACTTTTTCATTGAAAAGTTCATACTTTTGTTGACGTTTAGTGGAAATTCTATAAAAATGTTCCACCGATTGAATTTTCCATAATATTTACATTCTAATTCAAAAAAACTTGAAAATTACTAGAAATTTCGATTGAGTTTCAGAAACTATATCTCAGGAATTAAAAGTGATTTCACAAAACGGACTTTTTCATTGAAAAGTTCATACTTTTGTTGACGTTTAGTGGAAATTCTATAAAAATGTTCCACCGATTGAATTTTCCATAATATTTACATTCTAATTCAAAAAAACTTGAAAATTACTAGAAATTTCGATTGAGTTTCAGAAACTATATCTCAGGAAATAAGAGCGTTTTCACAATACGGACTTTTCCATAGAGAAGCTGATAGTATAGTTGACGCTTAGTGAAAAATCTATAAACATTTTCCACCGAATGGATTTTTCATGAACTTTTCATTCTAATTCAAATAAACTTGAAACTTACTAGAAATCTCAATTGAGTTTAAAAAAGTATATCTCAAGAAGTAAAAGTGATTTCGCACAACGAACTTTTTCATTGAAAAGCTGGCACTTTAGTTGACGTTTAGTGAAACTTCCATAAAAATTTTCCACCGAATGGATTTTCCATGATCTTTTCATTCTAATTCAAAAAACTAGAAAATTATTAGCATTTTCGATTGAGTTTCAGAAACTGTATCTCAGGAATTAAAAGCGTTTTCGCAAAACAGACTTTTTCATTGAAAAGCTGATAATTTAGTTGACGTATAGTGAAAATTTTATAAAAATTTTCCACCGATTCAATTTTCCATTATCATTTCATTCTAATTCAAAAAAACTTGAAAATTATTAGAATTTTCGATTGCGTTTCAGAAACTATATCTCAAAAATTAAAAGTGATTTCGCAAAACGCACTCCTTCATTGAAAAGCTGATACTTTAATTGACGTCCTGTGAAAATTCCATATAAATTTTCCGCCGAATGGATTTTCCATGATATTTTCATTCCAATTAAAAAAGAACTTGAAAATTACTGGAAATTTCGATTGAGTTTCAAAAACTATACCTCAGGAATTAAAACTCTTTTCGAAAAACGGACTGATTCCTTGAAAAGCTGATACTTTACTTGACGTTTAGTGAAAATTCCATACAAATTTTCCACAGAATGGATTATCCATGATCTTTTCATTCTAATTCAAAAAACTAGAAAATTATTAGCATTTTCGATTGAATTTCAGAAACTGTATCTCAGGAATTAAAAGTGTTTTCGCAAAACAGACTTTTTCATTGAAAAGCTGATAATTTAGTTGACGTATAGTGAAAATTTTATAAAAATTTTCCACCGATTGAATGTTCCATTATCATTTCATTCTAATTCAAAAAAACTTGAAAATTATTAGAATTTTCGATTGCGTTTCAGAAACTATATCTCAAGAATTAAAAGTGATTTCGCAAAACGCACTCCTTCATTGAAAAGCTGATACTTTAATTGACGTCCTGTGAAAATTCCATATAAATTTTCCGCCGAATGGATTTTCCATGATATTTTCATTCCAATTAAAAAAGAACTTGAAAATTACTGGAAATTTCGATTGAGTTTCAAAAACTATATCTCAGGAATTAAAACTCTTTTCGCAAAACGGACTTATTCCATGAAAAGCTGATACTTTAGTTGACGTTTAGTGAAAATTCCATAAAAATTTTCCACCGAATGGATTTTCCATGATCTTTTCATTCTAATTCAAAAAACTAGAAAATTATTAGCATTTTCGATCGAGCTTCAGAAACTGTATCTCAGGAATTAAAAGTGGTTTCCCAAACGCACCTTTTCGTTGAAAAGCTGATACTTTAATTGACGTCCCGTGAAAATTCTATAAAAATTTTCCTCCGAATGGATTTTCCATGATATTTTCATTCTTATTAAAACAACTTGAAAATTACTAGCATTTTCGATTGAGGTTCAGAAACTGTATCTCAGGAATTAAAAGTGTTTTCGCAAAACGGACTTTTTCATTGAAAAGTTCATACTTTTGTTGACGTTTAGTGGAAATTCTATAAAAATGTTCCACCGATTGAATTTTCCATAATATTTACATTCCAATTCAAAGAAACTTGAAAATTACTAAAAATGTCGATTGAGTTTCAGAAACTATATCTCAGGAAATAAGAGCGTTTTCGCAATACGGACTTTTCCATTAAAAAGCTGATACCTTAGTTGACGTTTAGTGAAACATTTATAAAAATTTTCCACCGATAGAATTTTCCATGATCTTTTCATCCTAATTCAAAAAAACTTGTAAATTACTAGAAATTTCGATTGCGTATCAGAAACTATATTTCAAGAATTAAAAGTGATTTCGCAAAACGCACATTTTCATTGAAAAGCTGATACTTTAATTGACGTCCTGTGAAAATTCCATAAAAATTTTCCTCCGAATGGATTTTCCATGATATTTTCATTACAATTAAAAAAAAACTTGAAATTTACTAGAAATTTCGATAAAGTTTCAGAAACTATATAACAGGAATTAAAAGTGATTTCGCAAAACGGATTTCTTCATTGAAAATCTGATACTTTAGTTGGTGTTCAGTGAAAATTCCATAATAATTTTTCCCCGAATGAATTTTCCAAGACCTTTTCATTCTAATTCAAAAAACTTGAAAATTATTAGAAATTTCGATTGAGTTTCATAAACTATATCCAGAATTAAAAGTGATTTTGCAAAACGCACTTTTTCATTGAAAAGCTGATACTTTAGTTGACGTTCAGTGAAAATTCCATAATAATTTTCCCCCGAATGAATTTTCCATGATCTTTTCATTCTAACTCAAAAAACTTCTAGATTACTAGAAATTTCGATTAAGTTTCAGAAACTATATCTCAGGAATTAAAAGTGATTTCACAAAACGGACTTTTTCATTGAAAAGCCACTTCATCTTTAGTTGACGTTTAGTGAAAGTTCTATACAAATTTTCCACCAATTAGATTTTTCATAACTTTTTTTAATCTAATTCAAGAAAACCTGAAAATAATTAGAAAATTCGATTGAGGTCTAGAAAATATATTATGAGATGCCGTGTGGCGAGTCGTGGTTTCGATCGTAGTTGTCAAATCCTAGAATGGTTTAAAAACAATAATGCGAACCTCATGGGATAGCCCAGTCAAAGAACCAACCTCAAATTAGACGTAGAAGTCTACAATTACATCGCGAAATACTAGCCAAACATTTACATATCTGGAAGCTGCATGGAGGAGTATATTCCAAGCTACGATCAATCACCATATCCAAAGGTTTGAGAATCCAAGTGTATTCAAAGCGTTTCAGGCCAAGATATTGGCAGCAAACAGTAACAAAGTAGGTGAACAGTAACTTTTTATAATGGCTCTACAACGAAAAGCCAGAAAGAATACATCATCGATCAATGCCATAAGAACCCCTTATAGTACTTTGATTTTCTGTAACTCCAATTCTCAACATGAAACATACATTATAAGAATTGAAAAAATTTAGATAGAATTTCTTAAATTGTTCTAAGCTAGTGTTGATTGAAATTCTTATGAGGAAAATATGTAAACACTTACACACTTGTTAGCTAAGAATTGTTATTTAAAAAATATAAAACTCATAAAGAATTAGGTATATACAAATGATTTAACAGCAAAATTTAACAATTTAGTTTTTTAAAAATTGGTGGTAAAATATATTATACTTTTAAGTGTTTTAGTTAATCTTAATAATCTGATGTTTTTATGTCCCAAGCGGTTTTTATATTTATATTTTTTGAACTATTTATTTTTAATACAAAATACACATTTATTACTACTAAGCTATTTTATCGATGTGTTTATTGTAGGTTTCGAAAAGCTCTGGGTAAATAAAAACGACGCGTGCAGCTGACAGTGTTTTCGATTTACAGTTCAGCTAAATGGAATCGATACAAATCTTTCGCCGACGCTTTGTACAACCTTAAAAAACGAATTGAAACCACTATCCACTTACACATTACATCCAACACCACTTCGACGCTGCTTGATTTAGTTGAGTAGGATTCGTGCACGGCAACGCACTTGAGTGTCTTCCCGTGGTTGTCTTTTGAAATTGTAAGTTCCAGTACGCTGATGGCTAGCCAAGTTCTCGGATTGTCCACCTCGGTACTGTTCGTCTGTCGCCTGGTGGGCGTGATTTCCATTTGATCTGGAAGCACAATTGAAAGAGAACACGTGAATTTGCAAAAGCACTCGACGCCGAGCAATAGCGACGATTTCCTTCTCTACGAGATGCACCAGTAAAGAATAATGATAGCTATGCCGGCATCGGTCGAGATTTAAAATTTAAATTTCGCGTTATGAATGAATTATACTGCGCGTATATCACCGGCCGTTATTACGCGAGAAATTGCGGCGTAATCTTGCGCGAGATTTATAACGTTTGACGGTCGCCCTAGCGCGTGTAACCGAGCGCGTATTCTTCCTCAACAATTGTAATCATGAACTACTTCGCATAATGACCGAACACTCCATTCGGCGTGAGCATAAAGCATTGAAATTGCCGTATTATCTTTCGAACTTATGTAATATAACGGAGCGTTTGTTGTTTGGGAGGTTCTATTTCCCAACACTACCATGCAATAATTCATAAACCTATAAACTATGTGTGTAATATCTATTCATTTTTCAAAACAACACCCTTAAGAATTCTTTTTGATCCCTGATACACAATTTACGTTGTAAGAATCATATTTTCTTTATGATTTAAAAACTAAATTAAATTCATTTTCTTTTACAATCGAGATCGATTACTGTGTTACGCAGTTAAGCTCGATAATATGAATGTTGATACCGGATAGTTTCAGGTAAGCACAACGAATATTAAATAATGTTATATCTATAGGGAATACAAACTGTAATGAGATGCAAAATAGATTAAAGGAGGTTACTGGTTGTGTAATCGAAAACGCCAAACCTTGTAAACACAACGTACGGCTACGCCCGCAGACATCGGCTTTGTTTCGTAACAAATTTACCTACGATTATCGGTCGCTCTGGTCCGTTTGCCAATCGATTTGCCGTTGCTTTAAAGTTTTACCACAACTGATAGGTTTAAAAGTGCCAAAATTAAATTAAAAACTAAAAATATAATTTACTTCCATAGAATAAAAAACGTTGTATGTTATTAATTAATTCAAGTATTTTGTGGTCAAACATCTTACAGTTTATTTGAAGTCCACTATACAGTTTAAAGCTGTGACCCTGATTTTAACCGTACTTGGTCACGCAGCCATACGTATGTTTTTAATCAGGGCATAATTTGAAATGTATTCAGAGTAAATTGTATGTGTTTATTTTGTGTTTAAAAACATTTCAGTAACGGTTAATTAGGTTTGTGTAATAACAAATATTTTATCTAATTAAACATTGTTGAGTTACATAACATGAATTTCAGTTTTAATGAATAAATCGACGTTACAAACCGCGGAACCAACCTACTATAATGGGAGTTACTAGTCCGATATATATGATGCTCTTGAAATGATTGATTCAAAGAACAGACAATGAGTATTAACGACAACAATGATCAGAAGAGTAGAATTCGTTTGAGATAATTCCTTTTATCACTAGGAATTCTATTGGTTTGTCATTTCTTTCATGCTTTTTGTATTTCTGCAATTTTTGTCTCTAATGAATTTAGGAAAAATGTTAGATTTAGGTTTTGGTGTTAAAATAGGTGTTGGGCGCAGGCTGAATTTTGTATGTCTTTTAACCTTTTGTGTCCCAAGAAGTCAAAAATGTTGAAACTTTGCGACAAAATTAAAACGATATCAAAATACACTCAGGCCTTTCGAATCAATTTTAGCAAAATATGCAATCCCCCCATTCCAGAGGGATAATATTTTAGTGGTGTTGCAGTATACAAAACCTTTTATAGTTAATATAAAAAGAATACATTTTTTATTACGTTAGAAAATAAGTAACACTTGCTTTAGCTAAATCACATTATGATATTCAGAAAAACAGTTCTTTCAAATTTGAATATTTATTTATCAGACCTGTAGCTACAGAACGACGAAAATCTGATAGAATATTGAGAAAAAACATACTGAGCAAAAACGTACATTTTCGCATAATCTAAGTGTCAAAAAAGATGCTAATTCAAAAATTTCTGGAAGCCGTATTTATTGAAATTAAGAAATGAAACTTATTTTAAATTGAAGCTTAAAGCTTTCTTTTTAAATCGATGTATAATAATCGTTCGGTTGAATTAGAAAAATATTGAGATAAAGAGTATTGAGTTAAAACTAACATTTAAGTGTAACCTAAAAGTGTCAAAAAAGATGCTACTTTAAAAATTCCTGGAAGCCGTATTTATTGAAATTAAGGAATGAGACTTATTCTGCATTAAAGCTCAAAGCTTTCTCTTTAAAATGATGAATAATAGTTGTTGGGTTGGATTGGAAAAATATTGAGAAAAAAAATATTGAAATAAAACTTACATTTTCGTATAAGCTAAAAGTGTTAAAAAAGATGCTAATTTAAAAATTCCTGGAAGCCGTGTTTATCGAAATTAAGGAATGAGACTTATTCTGAATTAAAGCTCAAAGCTTTCTCTTTAAAATGATGTATAACAGTTGTTGGGTTGGATTGGAAAAATATTGAGAAAAAAAATATTGAAATAAAACATTTTCGTATAAGCTAAAAGTGTCAAAAAAGATGCTAATTTAAAAATTCCTGGAAGCCGTATTTAATTGAAATTAAGGAATGAGACTTATTCTGAATTAAAGCTCAAAGCTTTCTCTTTAAAATGATATATAATAGTTGTTGGGTTGCAATGGAAAAATATTGACAAAAAAAATGTTGAAACAAAACTTACATTTTCGTATAACCTAAAAGTGTCAAAAAAGATGCTAATTTAAAAATTCCTGGAAGCCGTATTTATTGAAATTAAGGAATGGGACTTATTCTAAATTAAAGCTCAAAACTTTCTCTTTACAATGATGTATAATAATTGTTGGGTTGGATTGGAAAATATTGAGAAAAAAAAATATTGAAATAAAACTTACATTTTTGTATAAGCTAAAAGTGTCAAAAAAGATGCTAATTTAAAAATTTCTGGAAGCCGTATTTATCGAAATTAAGGAATGAGACTTATTTTAAATTAAAGCTCAATGCTTTCTTTTTAAAATGATCTGTAATAATCACACCTAATAACCATTTATCAAAGAGATACCTTATTGAACAACAAAATTCAACAACACCACTTTTCACTAAACTTCTAACCTCACATCTGGATGAATAAGTTTAAATTACTTAAAAAACGTACAGTGCGGATTACGTCGTTTTTTATACAGATTCTTTCTTGTATAGTAGAAAGTACCGACAGCTCTAAATGCGCCGACTGGAAGACTACAGTTTAAAATGAGTGTTTAAAACTACCTGTACTTTAAAGTACCGTCAGGACACAAAGGATTAAGAACATTTCTACTTCCCTGTCAATGTCTTCGCTTGTTTTCATAAGAGCATTAAGATGAATTTTATTATCTAATGTTTGTTGAAATAGATTCCAGTTAGTGAATTTATTAGATAGTTATAAAAAAATTTCTTTGTTAACAACGTCAAGAATGGCGATTAACTATCAAAGCGGTTCCGGCTCCACAAAACTCCATACATACAAGAAAAGAAGCATAGGGTAATAGCTTATATTAACAACTTTGGAGGGACCTATTAGATTGATAAACAATTATTTATAAATCTGTTAACTAATTATAACTTTAACGATTTTTAAAATGCGAGAAATAACATTTAATAGCAAATAAATGTAATAACGAAATCCAATACAAGGGAATCATTATTTAAGACCAAGAAATGAATTTTCTAAAACAGGATTTTGTCGTTTATTTGAATTCGTAGAGCAGCCAACGGTAAACAATACGGATTCGCATTTCATCATAATAGATTTTTCTTCTTTTACAGAGTAAGATGGAATTTCTTAAATAATAATTCCTTAGTATTTGATTTGAATTTCATGTTTATTTCAAAATAAATTTTGTGGCAGCATCTTGTTTCTAGGATTAACTAGAAACAAAGTAATGCCATTAAAACCCTAATTAGGGCCGCAAATGGTAGTTATGGGTTGATCAGATTAAAATCTAGAACGGTAATAAATCATTTACTCACCTAGAAACCATTTTAGAACCGGGGGAGGGTTCCCGTAGCGTGATAGACATTTCACGATGGCTACTTCACCATGGATAGCAGTCAAATTATGACCTGGTAATACTTGACTTTGATTGTATTCGATTTTTGGCTTCTGAGGAGCAACTATAAATTAAAAAAAAAAAAAGAAATTTAATAAACACTTCCATAATTATATCTTTGTAACAGTTATTTAATTAGATATCACTTTCGATAAAAAAATGTACTTAAAAATTTTTAAGTGATTTAATCGGGTAAAGAAATGGTTGTGAAGTTAAATAAAAATTCAAAACGATGAAGAACCCAACCAGTAGACGTCTGGGCAAGTTAATTCCGTTACGATATTACTCATTACGACAACGAAGTGTCGCGCGACCGACCCCGTATCGTAAATCTCTTTAAGGGTTGGTACTTAAATGTTACAGTCGCGAAATAGTTAAAAACCCGTATCTGGCCGTCGGGGGTTAATGGTTCGTGAAATATTCTGGTTAATAAACGGATGGAATGGTAAAAGTCAGAGAGTTGTTAAAATTCTGTTATGGGGATGATTCTGTTAAGGGATGATATTAACAATGAATTTATGCATGTAAATTTTTATTTTTAAACAAAATTATTTTAAAATATCTTGTGAACTGGAAAAGTAAAAAAAGGAAACAGAAACAAAAGTTGTCCCCTTATCTGAACTAGAAAAAAATTTGTTCCCCAGAATATGTTTTTTTGCGACAACGCGAGAAACTTGTTTTGAATGCAACTAAAGTTCCGGAACCGACTTTGTTAAAAAGTTTCTGAAAAGCACCGTACGGTTCGGAATCAGTTCCGTTGTTTGCACCCTTGGTGACGTCAAATTTATTTTTAAACTCCCCGTCGTGCAGCCTACTTGACGAATTGGAGGAGCTTTTTTCGTAGGTAGACCACGACGAGCCGTACACTTTGCGGCCCATTTTTCCCTTCATTTTCCACAATTTCAACGACATATTTAAAAATTTCCGGACGCCGACAAGTTTTTCGGTCGCACCCACTCCTACAAAGCAAACTTTTAATTAACGCTATAAATTGTAGTATTTAACTGCAAAGTACTTGACCCGAACATCTCCCTGTTACAGTAATTAGGTAAAGTTACATAATTATGGCCGTCCTAAATGAAAATGTTACCATGGAGGCGGTCGTTTATAAAATATTAAAAATCCTCTTAACTCCTATTCTCAATTAAAAAACTTCCTATTGTGAACACTTTTTAAGTAGTTTTAATAGATAATAAATTTTCGTAATTGTTTAAAATTCTTAGAATAGAATTTACCACAAGATAAATCTTCTGTAAACAATGTGAGAACAAAAGGAACAACTCTTGTACTTATTTTAGCAATCAATGGCACGCGACTGATAAGTTTCCGGACGTGCACTCCATTCTTTGGTTCTTTCCCGTCTTCGACGAGGCGAATCCGAAGCGTTTTTGTGCGAACCGGCTACCACAGCAGTTAGTTTCGGTCTGTTTCCCGGAACGACAGCTTCCCTACGAACGCGAGCTCCACCATTCCACGTATGTCCCGCGCTCTATTTAATTTAATCTGTTCTCCTCCGCGCTGATTCCTTTAAAGATCTCGTTTCAACACGCCGACGGAGAAACACAATTAACAGTTCTTCTTCCCGCAGGATGTAGACGAACTGTCTCTCACCGTCTCTCTCTCTCCTAGACCATTTACTCTACGTTTAGCGTCACGATTTGCTCGCCGCATCTCTTCCGACGCCTCTTCCCCCACAAAGTTCTTTGTCTGCATTGCCGGCGGCAACCTTCCTATATAACGCCCACAATTGAAACTTTACTCTGATAAGATTTCTTGGCCTCCTTCGATGAAAAACTGGTTTAATTTTACGAAACAAAAAGATTACCCTTTGTTTTATTTGCTGTTTTAAAAGTAAATAGAAAATTTAAAAAAAAAACAACTTTAGGTAAAAGTTAAAAAATAACTGATAATGTTGGTCCTACGAATTCACTTTTAGAACAAAACTGTTTCTCCATTTGAGGTTACTACCTACATACCACCTCTTAGTTTCATTGAGCAATCGATCACGCGTCTCCCTCGGAACTTTGGAACCAGTGGAAGTACAGTCATTAATAATGTCGGTAAAGTGCAGCTTTGCAATGGGGTTATTCTAGGTCTCTTGTCTCGGTCATGCCGACCTTAGTCCTGCTCTTTCCACGATTCGTCTTACTACCATAAAATATTAATGGCTAATTCCGACAATGAAATGTTAAAATAAAAAGTAAAATTTAATGTTTAATTTGTTTTTAGAAAAAAAATAAATAATGGCGGAGGAGCCGGTGAATATGATTTAACACATACATTTTTTACCAAGTTTTCTATTGTATATGCAAAATATGTTGGAAATACTGGTGCTTTGAAGTATTTAGTACAGCATCAAAGAACGAAATTTTTTTGCACAGCTTTTTCTAGAACACCTTACTTAAACCCAGAAAATTTCCCGGTAAAAAAAACTTAAACGTTTCACTCTTGTCCGCATATTTATTATTAATTTAACTTACACTTTACCGGTTCTTTGGATTTAGTTTTCATATTTACTTTATCATAGTACAATGTTTATTTAAATCAGTTCTTTTTCTCTATCAATTAATTTTTCCAGCGTTTTTTCTATTAACAATTCCACAACAACGGTTAATACACTCAAACACTTTTAAATTCATTACCACACAGTCTTACACCACCTTAACAAATACTAAACTAACATATTCCCATTTTGACGCTGTACCAAGTTCCCCTGGAACCAATAAGACTTTATAGACAACAACTAATCATCAGTAGGTAAAGTTCATTCATAACCGCTTCCTTTAATAATCCACATATCTGCTTATTAAAAGTGTGTAAGCAAAACCATAGGTAAAGTCCATGTTGTTTCCAAAGAAACATATTTTAAGTCGTTTCTAAAACCGACGCTATCAGCTCTAAATATATTCTTGATGAAAAATCAAATTGAAATGGGCCTTCAAAATTACGTCCGTGATTTGGGCGCTGATTTCGAAGATGTGGCAACTGTGATGTACGTATGCTTTTTGGCATAAAAGAATGAAAGTATTATTACATAGCAAACTGATGACGTAGAGAAATGAAAAATTAAATATAACATTTGACACATATTTGATCTCCACATATTTCAACATAATATTCCTTAACATCTTACTGATCCTACTGACATCTACCAACATCGATCTCCTATCTGATCACTTTCAATATCTTTTCTGACCTTTCTGACACTATCCCTGATATATGTATGTACATACATATGTCAATAAGAACCTGATATCTTACAACATTATTACTGATATCTATCAGCAGTCGTGAAAATTCTCAACATCATCTGTGAGATCTTTCTATATTGACCCTGACATATTTTAACATAATCCCTGATATTTCTCAATTTTGTTCTGGCCTCCCTGAATATCTTACCCACCATCTCTGATTATTACAGCTGATATCTTTCAATATCGATCCTCATTCTGATGACCTTCTATATCTTTCCTGGTCTTCCTGACATCATCCCTGATATTTCTCAATAAGATAGCCTTCATCATGATCTTCCACTATCAACATTGTTCTTATATATCATCGTGTTTCATATCGCAAAGTATCATTCTGAATATCGCTCTCCTTCTTTTATGATATCTTATAACACCATTACTGATGTTTCTCAAGATCGTCCTTGATATCCTTGGTAATTCTATTCTAGCCTTCTTCCACATCTTAACCACCATCTCTGATTATTACCCCTGATAGCTTTCAACATCGATCTTCGTTCTGATGACCTTCAATATCTTTCCTGGTCTTCCTGACATCATCCCTGATGTTTTTCAATAAGATAGCCTTCATTATGATCTTCCACATCCACTATCAACATTGTTCTTATATCTCATCGTGTTTAATATCGCTAAGCATCATCCTCGATATCTCTCACCCTGTTTCATGATATCTTTCTTACAAGATCATTACTGATATTTCTCAATATCGTCCTTGGTATCCTTGGTAACACTGTTTTAGCCTTCTTCCACGTCTTACCCACTATTTATTAACATTATCTCTAATATTTATCAGCACCATCCTTAATATCCTCCAGCATCACGCTGGTCCTCCTTATCATCATTTACGACATCGTTCCACATTGTTCCTGACATCCTTGAATATAATTTCCCAGAACTTTTAATAATGTCGAGCTCTCTCTCAACATTTTCCTCATTTATCAAATACTCCCTTGATAACAACATTACATCTATCAACATCTTGCTCAATCATCATCGTTGTCCTTGCACAACATCGTCTACACCAACCCAAAACATTGTCTCTGACGTATCTTAACCGTTTGAATCTCAGGGGGTATTGAAAAAAACACTGTCAAAGAATCCCAAATGGTGATATGATCGCGCTGTTTGATCATCTATTAACATAGCTCTTCGTTTGCATTTGATCGGTAGTTATTGCGTTTCCAACATTCTAAAAAAATATCCTCGGAAGGCACTATATTGATGTGCAAATGAAAAGGAGGTGAACTTCCTTTGTCAAAATTGACTTAATACAGTGTCTTCAATTAAATTTGCTATAAAACTAGGCTGGGAAAACGGTGTTTATTAGTGTCTTGAGTTTTGCAACAATGCAAGTACAATGAGGTCATGCAGCCACGAAGACAATAGAGCTGGAATCAGGGTACTTCATCCTGAAATAAGCTATGAAAGGTATCATTTCTTCATAAAGTATACTAGAAACAACTCTACCATTATCATATTGCGATAACTGCTGTCTTAAAATTACTTTTAAATAGGCAATTTGACGTTGAATGACATTTTTTATAGAAATAAACTGTTTCATGTTAAAGTAACGATTCATTGACGTGTTTAGTATATTGATTGCGATGTCGTAAATAATTTTTGGCAACTTTAACGTGTAAAATAAAAACAATTATAGGAAGATTTTGTAAATGGATCAAAAATTCTACGCCTGAGAATATTAAAGTCCCACCAAGCTCTGTAGTAGAACGAAAAACCCCTCTCATTAAGCGATATCCCATTGATTACATTTTTTATCTTGTTACATTTTTCACTTTTACACTGCGAAAAGACAAAG